AATTACTTTAAAGTTGTTTAAGTTAAAATAAGTTGATTGGTATAGTTTTTTAATGTTCATGTTTATAAAAAATGCTGGGAAGCCCAAATTGCCCAAACTAGTTTGGGCCTTGAGAAAACAGTTTGAACCAGAAACCTTAGTGAGGGAGTTCGTTTATAAATTAATATATTTCATGGTATTATTTATTCATTAATTTCATAATTTTAATAATAATAACAAGAAATAATATGACAAGTAAAAAAGAAGAATAGCAAATCATCTATATACAAAAAGTATTAACATGCATCATTAATAATAATAATAGGAAAGGGAAAGCAAAATGCAAGTTCTAGTTGAAGATTTAATCCCAGCACTTCCTCTGAATCTTCTGATAGGTATGTCTCAATTGCCTAATAATTCAAAAAGAACAGAGTACAAATTTGTAACAGAAATGCCACAAAAACATTTCAGGTAAATTTATATTTATTAAATTTATTTGCTTTACTAGTAAGAAGTTGAATGGATTCTAAAGAAGATTGAGTGACAGGTCAATAAACTCAAACAACTCTTCAGTATATTTAACCATTTATGAAAAAATTATTGAGATTGTATGATAACTTTATGATTATAATTATAATTTGCAAATATTGATTGTTTTTTGGTAGGTTTGTAAAAATACACATAATACATGATTTTGGAAGCTGTATGACTATTTAATAAAGCTCCCATAAAGCTTTCCTTCATAAAAGTTTTTTCAATGAAAAGATCTGCATAAAGTTTAGTCAATCATTTTTGTTTTGATTTGATTTTTTTCTATGGTTTGCTCAGTCCTATTGCTGCGCCATGCAGCCAAATTTCAAAATAGCAATTTTGTAATTTGTTCAAAAATGTAATAAATTTTTTCAAAAAATAGGACTTCATGTGATTTTAGTTTTCTTACTGCCAAATTTAGATATGATAGTCAATAGCTAGTCTAAATTTGGTAATATTTTTCCTAAATTTAGAAATGATCATAGTGGACAAATCCCTTGCAAGCATAGTAAAGTACACAGTGAGTCTCGGTATAGCGGATAATTTGGGCAATTAGAACAAAAATTTCAAAAATCCGTTATACTGAGATTAATTCAAGATTTAATTAGTAAATCTGTTAAACCAAGAGAATTTACTTATAGACAGTTCTGAGCTTTGATCTGTTAAACTGAGAGTTTTATTAGACATCCGCTATACCGAGGTCTGCTATACCGAGACTTACTGTGTACATGTTTTAAAAAAGAATAGAACTCTACAACAAATAATTTTTTTGAGAAAATCTCTATTACATTAAAACTAAAG